CTTATGGAATTGCCATTGCATTTTCAAAGAAGGATATCATTGCAAAAGTTGCTCAAGTGCAGCCTATCCCTGAATGTGGTGAACCATAAAGTAAATGGCATTCAAACCCTGAATAATAAAGACCTACTGTTCCAAAACAGTTTAATTGCCCCATTTGCATAGGTACAATTAGGGGAACATTTTATAGTATCTGTGTTAATCAGATTGTGCTTTTTCGTTGTTTTATTTTTACAGCTATATAATTTCTTCCCAACTATCATGGACTATATACCTGGACCTCATAAACAGCTGATAGAAAATGTTGAAAAAGTTGATCAATTTACAACAGATATCGTAATGGAACACCAGAAAACCCTGGATCCCACTTGTCCTCGAGATTTTGTGGATGCTTTTCTTATCAAAATGGAACAGGTACTGTAAGAGCAGAGATTTATTGGATTCTAAGGAAATCACTGCTTGAATTACATCTTTTCACTTGTGACAGGGCACTGGGCTTTTGCAGATAGAGGGGAATTTGCTCTTCTTGGCACATCAGCTTCACTCTGTCCTCTCCATTTTCTTATCAAGGATTTTAAAACACAGAATTAGCCAAAGTTAGGACAGCTGAAGACCAATCTGATCAATGTAATTCAATGCTACTCCCATATTAAAAGAGATTCATAATATTATTCGGTAAAAGTACCATAAATGCTGTCACTCTGGAGAGTGACTGTCATATTTTTGGAATGACATTAGATGTGTTTAAAAACATACATTATGGGTACTGTACTGTCCTTTTGAAACAAACCTCTTGGCTTTCTCATTCAAAACCTTCTGCTAAATCTTCCTGCAGGAAAAGGGGAATAGTCACTCAGAATTCAATACTGAGACCTTGACCAGAACCACACTCGACTTGTTCCTTGCAGGAACAGGGACCACCAGCGTCACACTGAGACATGGATTTCTGATTCTCCATAAATACCCAGAGATAGTAGGTAATAAGAAAGGAAATAAATAATTTAAAACTTTTTAATAGGTTGTGGGATGAGTTTGGACAGTTCCTGTCACTACCACATGTGGCAATGGTTCCCTGACTAAGGAAACATGTCTTTGCAGCGTGAAATGTGTATTAGTCTTAGTCTTATTCACAGGAAAGAGATATTAGTACTAAGTATATTCATATATTCCTGGTGTGCTAAAAACAAATGTTGTTGTAAATATGGGAGAGAGGTTTAGACAAACAGTTGGGAAACTTTCCCATTCAACACTTACTTATTTCCTAACAGAGAAAATTCAACAGGAGATTGACAGTGTGATTGGCCGAGACCGAAGCCCTCGCATGGCAGATCGGAGCCGGATGCCCTACACAGACGCTGTGATCCATGAAATCCAGAGATACATTGATTTCATTCCCCTTAATGTCCCACATGCTGTGATCAAAGACACCAAGTTCAGAGACTATTTTATCCCCAAGGTCTGTTCCACTGTGTCTGAGAAAGGTCATAATCTCCTGAAAACAATAACACATTCTATTAATTTTGTTTTATTTCCAAAAGCACTGAAATGTGATATTGAATTGGAATAATTTTGTTTGGGAGGAGACTGTGGAAGTTACTGAGTCCAATGCCTTGTTTTTCTTTGTTTGGGAGGAGACTGTGGAAGTTATTGAGTCCAATGCCTTGCTTTTAAAAAAAGAAAAACCACCAAACCCCCCCACACTTTCCATCCTTTATGTGAAGAGGGAGGTAGAGCTTTCTGAGATGTAAGTTGCAATTTATTCAGAAGCAATAGTAAATACTCTAAACAGACTCACCATTAAAATTCATTTTAAAATCCATCTTTGCCATACCAATGGCACATATTTTCACTCATTAAATGCTCATTTTAAACTGGTTAAACTTTGACTACCCTGCTATTCTGCTCTGGAAACTTCTCAATACCCCTTTGCTTTAGCATATCTCCATTGTCCTTTTCCTCTCTTTTGTAATTCAGGACACTATGATATTCCCTATGCTGAGTTCCGTCCTACACGATAGCAAGGAATTTCCAAACCCAGAAAAATTCGACCCAGGACATTTCCTGAATGCAAATGGTACCTTTAAAAAGAGTGACTACTTCATGCCGTTTTCTGCAGGTAAGATCCCTTCCTATTTCAGATCCTAGACTATCCTCTCCTAGAACCTCTTTGAAGATTTCAGTGGCTCCATTGCCATGGTCTGTACAGTGATGTCTGGCGACACCTGCTAGTGTCACTTCTGGGCAGCTCTAACTCCTGCACTAGCGTTTCAGTTGACTCCCTTTTTAAGCAACCACAAGAGCTTCTTCAATGCATTCTGCAAGAAGAGGTGTATGAAGTTGGACTCAGCCATGTAACTTCTCACTTTCCAAACTTCCCATCAAACAGCAGCAGAACATGAGAAATCAGAATCTTCAAACCGCCTTTGCCCACTGAGTGCTCTCATTGTTCTAGACACTTACTTCCTAGTTTAATTCATTTGCTTCCCCGAAATACTTCAGTGCTGCCTGTCCATTCTGAGATGTCTGAACTTTCATGGAACAGTGGTTAAGATCAGCTACCAGCAAAATACTCCACTGTCACCTCAATTGTTATTATGTTCTTGCTTGCAGGAAAACGTATTTGTGCAGGAGAAGGTCTGGCCCGGATGGAGATATTCATATTTGTAACATCCATCCTGCAGAACTTTACTTTGAAGCCTGTTGTGGATCTCAAGGACATTGACACTACCCCGTTGATCAGCAGTCTGGCAAGCATGCCCCGTCACTATGAGATCTCTTTTGTTCCACGTTAGCCAAGTGAAAACAGTTGCCAGCTCCCAAATTCTTGAATGCTCCAGATGAATGACAGTCATTTCCCAGTCTGTTGAGACTGATACACTCAGATCATTTGCTAGATACTCGATGGAGAGAAAAGAGAATTGCATGGTGCTTTTAGAATCCCCACAGCCAGCTCTAGACAGAGAGGGAAGGAGACAGCTCCCTGTGCAAAATTATACAGGTTCTCCTCTGCACCTACCTCACCCAGCTCAGGTTCTTGTCTGGCTCCTGTCATCCTGATATGTCAGGGCGTGTGGACTAGTGCTCTGAGAGCCCTGCTGCTGCTGTCCTATCAACTGATCATCTCAGTACAGCAGGAACAGATGCTTGTGCTCCAGGGTCTCCACAGACTCTGCTTGAGGTATCCCTCTCCTCTGTACTTTCAGTTTGTTTGTGACCTATTTGTAAAGGTAAGCGTAAAACAGTGTGGTTTTTTTCCATTAGATGATAATCATCTGCTTTATTCTTGCCCCAATAGTTATTGTCTCCTGTGGTGGGGATGGAGTTTATCAATGACTGGGCAGATGGGTCATCTTCTGTGTGATTATAATGAAGGTTTGTGAAATTACAATTTATATTGCAAAATAAAGAAGTAGCACACCGAATTGTTGGGGTTTTTGAAATCCCAGGACAACATCTTTCAGTGAAAAACCTGCATCCACAAAGCTTATACTCCCAAATATCTTTCAAGTCTTATACACATCTGTTTCATTTCACTCATTTATACAAAATGCACTATGGCTTGAAGAATGAGCTGACTAATGACCTATAAACTTCCATTCCCAATGAGCTGCACTGACCCTTCGGGACCTATCAGAACCCCAGCTGCAGTTACAGAGCTGTTCATTGTGGCAGAAAAGGACAAATTAAATAATACCAGGATCCCCCCAGTGCCATTTCCTAGATGAATGCCAACTTGCATCTTCCCATTATTTTCTGAAGCATGTAAAGATCACTACAGCAATGTTTCAATCAGGCAAAAAAAGATATAAAAAGAGTTCACATGAGTTGCCAAGCATGCATGTAGAGATCTAGGATGCATTTCCTACCTTCATCACATTCCCTGCAATGCATAATATATAGTGACTACAGTGAAGACAAGAGAGCTGAATCTGTGCTATGTGGAAAAAGATAGCAACTGTAATATTGCCACAATGGCATTAACTGTTTGTGTGAAACAGACAGAACCTGTTTCCTTCCAAAGTATTAGCAGGCTAGATACACCATGAGTTGGAAGCATGGCATTGCAAAGGCAAAAGCCACGAATGTCATAGAATTGCAGAAATAAATCTTCTCACCAGATGAAAAGAAGAAAGTACTTCATGCTTCATCTTTAACTGTGCCATGACTTAAATAGCCAAAGCAAATCAGCTGGAAGCAGCTTCCTTGTTCCAGACATCTTCCTCCATGCTGAAAAGACTCAGAGCTAAGAAGCTCTGAAAGCCATACAAGCTACTCTGAACTCTCCTCATATGCTAAAATGTGGCCTCTTCTACTGAAAACATTCTATGATAACCACTAGAGATAAAGTAAACCGATTGCACTTGCTGTGGGTTAGAAGTATGAGTAACCACTATGTGCATTTAAGCTTTAGCAAGGCTTTATTTTGCACAGCCCAGAGAACATTAGTCATACGAAACTTCAGAAGCCAAAATGAACTGGTCTTTCCACTGGTTCTTCAGAGGAAATTTGGCCTCTGCACTTAGGTAAAGCATAAGTGATCTCCTGCCATAATTCCCAGGTTAAATGCTCTCTAGAATCTTTCAAAGCAACCTTTGCCTTTTAGTTTGAACAGCTATTCACACTTCCCACATTGATTCTCATTTTCATTTTATGTTTCAAATTGCAAACAGTGCATACTGGTTAATCACATGGATTTGCTATACCATGTCTGTATTGCATTGCTCTCTTTAACTTCCCCCTGTGCAGTGCCTTTAAGTAAAATTCTTTAACTTGCTATCATGTCAGAGACATGCCTGGTTTCTTTATAGCAACTTGGCTGAACTTGTGCCTAGTTTAGTTCAACTCTTTGGAAATAAGGGAGGGAGACCCCCCCCCCCCCGCAAAGCAGTCCTGGCTGCCTCAAGATATACTTGTCCCACTTGGATGCCATACCCTGTTACTACGGTGGAAAGCTATGTGAAGATGCCTCCACAGCCATCTGCTCTCCAGGTCATAACCTAGACCTTACAAGGTGCCACAGCTATTAACTACCACAGCAAGAGATTAGGCCCATTTAATGACAGTGAGCCAAATATATCCCCAGATTCCACCAGGCTTTGCTCCCATAGTAAATGAAACATCAGTTCTTTTCACTTCTGACTTCTCAGTTACATCTTCCCCAAAGAACACCTCTACCTAAGGACAATCTCACAGAAAAGTACCCATTCCTCTGGAGAGCTTTTGGCATGTCATAGAATCCTAGAATTTTAGGGGTTGAAATAGACCTTAGAGATCATCTAGTCACACCCCCCTGCCATGGGCAGGGACACCTCCCCACCAGACCAGGTTGCCCAAGGCCTCATCCAATCTGGCTTTGAACAGTGCCAGGGTTGGGGCATCCACTGCCTCCCTGGGCAACCTGTGCCAGTGTCTCACCACCCTCACAGGAAAAAACATTTTCCTAATATCTAGCCTAAATTTCCCCTCCTTCAACTTGAGTCCATTACCCCTTGTCCTGTCACTGCAGTTCCTGACAAAAAGTTCCTCTAACCCCCCCCCCCCCCCGCAAAGCAGTCCTGGCTGCCTCAAGATATACTTGTCCCACTTGGATGCCATACCCTGTTACTACGGTGGAAAGCTATGTGAAGATGCCTCCACAGCCATCTGCTCTCCAGGTCATAACCTAGACCTTACAAGGTGCCACAGCTATTAACTACCACAGCAAGAGATTAGGCCCATTTAATGACAGTGAGCCAAATATATCCCCAGATTCCACCAGGCTTTGCTCCCATAGTAAATGAAACATCAGTTCTTTTCACTTCTGACTTCTCAGTTACATCTTCCCCAAAGAACACCTCTACCTAAGGACAATCTCACAGAAAAGTACCCATTCCTCTGGAGAGCTTTTGGCATGTCATAGAATCCTAGAATTTTAGGGGTTGAAATAGACCTTAGAGATCATCTAGTCACAACCCCCTGCCATGGGCAGGGACACCTCCCCACCAGACCAGGTTGCCCAAGGCCTCATCCAATCTGGCTTTGAACAGTGCCAGGGTTGGGGCATCCACTGCCTCCCTGGGCAACCTGTGCCAGTGTCTCACCACCCTCACAGGAAAAAACATTTTCCTAATATCTAGCCTAAATTTCCCCTCCTTCAACTTGAGTCCATTACCCCTTGTCCTGTCACTGCAGTTCCTGACAAAAAGTTCCTCTACAGCTTCCCTGTAGCCCCTTCAGATCCTGGAAGGTTGCTATGAGGTCTCCACACAGCCTTCTCTTCTTCAGGCTGAACAGCCCCTAATTCCTCAGCCTGTCTCCATAAGGGAGGTGCTTCAGTCCTCTTAGCAGCTTTGTGGCCTCCTCTGGACTTGTTCCAACAGTTCCATGTCCTTCTTATGTTCAGGGCACCAGAACTGCACACAGTATTCCAGGTGGGGTCTCAGGAGAGCAGAGTAGATGGGGAGGAGAATCACCTCTTTCAACCTACAGGCCCCATTTCTTTTGATGCAGCCCAGGATTCAATTGGCTTTCTGGGCTGTGAGCTCACACTGCACTTCATGGTGACTTTCTCATCTACCATCACACTCAAGTCACCCTCCTTATTCCCGGCCTCAATTACTTCCCCACCCAACCTGTAGCTGTGTCTGGGATTTCCAGGACCCAGATGCAGGACCTTGCACTTCATTTTGTTGAACCTCATGAGGTTTGCATTGTTCCACCTCTCAAGCCTGTCAAGGTCCCTCTGGATGGCACATCCCTTCCCTCCAGCGTGTGACTGCCCCACACAGCTTGGTGTGGCCAATGAACTTGCTGAGGTGCACTCAGTCCCACTGTCCGTGTCACCGACAAAGATATTGAACAGTGTCAGCCCCAGCACTGACCCCTGAGGGGCACCACTCCTCACTGGCCTCCACGTGGACACCGACCACAACCCTCTGTGTGCAACCATCCATCCAGTTCTTTACCCACTGAGTGGTCCACCCATAAATACATGTGTCTCCAATTTAGAGACAAGGATATCATGCAGGACAGTGTCAAGTCCTTTTCCACTGAACTCTACACTCAGTCAATCAGAGCTTGATATCACAACATAAGCTCCATACAGCACCAACACATTGCACTGAGCCCAAATGTATGGCAGAACATAGGACCACAGTTTTTAACAGAGCTGCAATTTACCAAAAAAAGAACACATCTTTTGGATGACATCCACTTACCTCAGGCAAGTTATTCTTCAGCTGCAGCATGTTTCTATAGGGCAAAGGAAATGGCACAGGAGGCAACGTCCCTGTTTCAGACATCTTCCTCCACACTGAACAGACAAGGAGGCAGACAATGCAAACTAGCACTGTGGCTCCCAAGGGTTCCCCTGCAACTTGACACAGGGATGTGGGACCAGGAAGGGCTGAAGCTGCATCCTAGAAGCCTCACTTTATGAAGCCTACAGTAAAAACAACAGTACAAAGATAACCAATAGCTGCTCTTATTTCCTCTGGGTTAAACTTACTAGCTAGAAAAAAATGCCTCACTGTCAATAAACTTGGATGAATGGCTTTAATTTCTAAGTCTTTTTTTAATCTTTTTTAAGGTCAACCTTGTACTACTGTAATATCAGAAAACAGGGACAAACATTAATCATTAGCAAAACTTGAATTAACAAACCCTTTCACACCTGTCTTCTGCTAATTACTGCTGCTTATATTTGCCCTCTGACAGGATGCTGCAAATACCACGATGTATTTATCTTCAGGCTATTATATACACTTGTGATTATCATCCCATTGGATATCTTTTAACATTTCTATTGAATACAGAGTTCCAGATTAAAAAGTATACTCCACTCTAGAAGACTTGTTTTTCAGCTGTTGGACATGTTGCAGTTTCCGCTAATTATTTAAGAGCTGATTCTGAAGACTGTGGACATTTCCACAAAGTACTGTTCCTTGACTTCAGAATCACCTGCTAGAGCAGCTGGGCAGAACTATCTTGAGATGCCAGGGAAAAGGAATTCCTGTCTGGAATTAAACTCTTCTGCTTCTGCTAAAAGAGCTGTATTTGCTAGGCTGATTCTCCACCCCTAGTTTGCAGTTGCAGTCCAAGCCTCCAAGAATTGCTTCAGCTCCAAAGCAGTCGTATAGACCACTCTGATGACATACTTTGCCCCTTCACTCTAACCTATCAGTCCTCCCTTCTCTCTGTTTTCTTCCTGTTCTTCCCTTCAAACACCTGCTACTTTATTCTATCTTCCATCAGAAAATTCTGCAGAAGAGAAGAGAGAGAGGCTTAATCTCCTCCTGTACATCTGTACCTCCTCTGGAACTTCTGGGGACTCTCCAGGTGAAGTGTCTGAGCAGTAACAAACTTGTGGCTTTCCTTTTCTCTGCAGCATAATGTTGTTACACACACCTAGCTATGTCTGTTCTGTGGTGCTACTCTCCAAGGACCTGCCATCCTTGCCATGATTTGGATTCTACCAGTGACACAGACAGCCCCCAGGCAGGGAGGGGAATACTTACTCAGAGACAGAACTGGGAACATAGTTGCCTGCACTTGGCCTAACTGGGATGCCACTGTCACATAGTCCTCCAGTCAGCCAGGAAATCAGTCTCTAAAATTTCGCCTCAATAAAATGTCACTTCTGGGACAAGCTCCTCTTCCCAATTTTGCTTCCTGGAGGTGGGATACTCAAGAGCTTGTGAAGGAGCTTCCCATTTCTTAACTAAAAGCACTAAGTGCTGCCGGCAATGCATGGCTGGACGGATTTCCATCTTCAGAGTCCCTGGAGATTTTCATCTTTGTAGTTTTAAAGCAGTATTGTATTTTGTACACAGAGAAAAGGAACTTTTCCAAAGGAACAGGATTGGGCCCGTCCTGTGCCTTTGCTGGATTCTCCGCTGGCGCAGCGCCTCCTCGTGGCCTCCCTCAGTGCTGCAGGGAAACGCTGTGAGCAGGGAAATGCCCATCGCTTTCCTTTGGCCTTTTTCGTGCCCCGACCGCAGATTCCTGCACCTTCCAACAGCATGATGAGTTGCACGTAGTAAGTGGATCTCTTCATCAAAGCAACTATCAAACACACCTGTGATGGCTAAGCCAGCAGCTCTACAAAACCAGATCCAAATAGGAGTGTCACTGGAGTATATTTAAACCTACTCTTGAGCGAGCTCTTTGCCTCACTCAAAGCCCAAATACACAGCCCAGACTCTGGGCTTCCGGCTGTGAAGAGGTGGGACGGGACAGGCCAGGAAGTGCCGTGCTTTGATGGGTGAGGAGCAATATCAGTTAACAACAGCTGTGTGGATGCTGTTTTAGAGGGCACTAGTCTAATTTTAATCACAACACAAATGCAACATCCTCTGCTTTCACGTACCTTTGGAGACCTGAGAAAGGCTTACAGCTAGTATGTGTGTAATATGTTATAATGTTTTGCACAGTCACAATCTGCTTAATCACAAATTTCCAAGTTCTCTGTTGAGCAGAGGTAAAACTCTAGCACTCATGCCCCTGCAATGTGTTCTTGCTTGGCTAGCACTAGTCTATCCCTGAGTGCAACCCTTTCTGTCCAAACACTTTATATATTTTATATCTTATATCCTTTTATCTAACTCCTGTGATAGGAAATGTTCCTGACTGTGCTACTGCCACGGCCACAACTGCCTCTGGCAACATAGCATGCTCTAGGCACACATTATAGAAGTGCTGCTGCAGAATTAGCTTAGTACATTAAACCATACTTAAGAGTGAGGCACATAGCTCTCTTTTCCTATATGACTAGCAGCCCTGAAACACCTTCACTATTATGAACCTCCCCGTGGCCTCAAGATGATAACGTGACCTACTGGGTCCAAGGCAGTTGGAGGTGCTAGAGGATGTAAACACTAAACAGAGGAGAGCTGTGCTGTTCTTGGCCACTTGAGGAATTTGCACAGCAAGCTGTTGCTATGATCTCAGTGACAGTGGATCCCTCTTACTGTGGAACTGTGAGTTTTGGCATCCCAACTGCAACGTGGACAGTACATGTCAAGGGAAAAGGAGGGTGTCTGGGACTCACCTTAAGACACTGCAGAGCTCTCACACATCTGGTTCTGTATCCAGCTTGGATCTATGCAGTCTGTCTCCCACTGAGGGTCTAAGCACATGGTCCATATCCGACAAGGGAGTGGATTTGCAGCTACATTAGCAGTGTGCTGCCATTAGAGCATGGAGGGCATCCAGGCCACGTTCTGTTCTGTCTTCAATACTTGATTGGCAGGTTATCTGCTATGAGCAGAACTTAACTGCCTTGCTGCCATGTGATTCAAGTCACTGGCACTCGAGGCTTGATTTTATCACATGGAGATGACTTCAAATTCCCTAGTCTCCACTGTAATTCCTTGGGATACAACTCTGTCACCCCTCCATCTTGGCCTCTTCACCTGACAAGCATGCAGGACTAGCTGCATCCCTGCAGTGGAGAACAATCCTTTTGTGTGGAGCATCCACTCTTGTGCCTCTAGCACCTTCCTCCCAGAAGGAGATAGGAATCAAACAAATCACTAGTCTGAATGAATGGGGGTGATGGTTCAGTCCTAGGTCAAACTGCCCTAGGTAAGTGTTTCAGTAGCTGGTCAGCTCTAGATTGTGTCCACCTATCCAGAACCATTTCCAACCTGACATGAATCAGGAACTTTTCTGTTCTTAGAGATGGGCAGAGGCCAAACAGGGAGCTTACAGGGCACCAGGGACCAAGGTCCAACCACATGCAGGTGCTATGTTCTATAATGAAAATCCTCATTCTTCCAGGAACAGGGGAGCTTCAAGGAGCTCCCTTAAGGTGAGCAGCCAAACCTCTGTGATTCTCCTCGACAAGGGCAAAGAGTAAGGACAGTACTACCAAAAACACTCGTGAGGCTGCCAGAATCACTCTTATACAAGAAAAGCAGTACAGACACAAATGATGGACACCTCTTAGAGACTTAACCCTGTTCTTTAAAAAATGTCCATTCCACACAGGCCTTTCTTCAAAGTGAACTTAACCCTCTGTCCAATCCTGCATCAAAGCCATACAGAATAGCATTTTCAATCTTAAACCCAAGATTTTTAAAGTGATGGTGAAAACCCTCAAAGGTCATCTGCTTCACTGTTTTTGAATAGCACTAGGGAAAAGTGTCCACCCTGACTAGTTCCAGTGGCTGTACACTGCCTGACAGCATGATGAGCTTTATCACACTTGCACAAGATATTCTTCTAAATAAGACTGTAGGAAGTTTAAACTACTTCGGTCCTACGTATCAGTACCTGTACTATCCTCAACTGCAACTCACTCAAAAGCCAGCTTGAACTACTTAGGGTCAAAAGATAGGGGAAAAGTCCTTGGAGTAGGAGTAACCTGTTCAGTAGGAAGGGATCAGCTAGATTAGCATTTTGGAATATTGGTAAGCTTTTTGTGGTGGGCATGCTGCTTCAAAAACTACTAGGATCAAAATTCACTGGCAAAACAGAAAGGATCTGCTAAGTTAACTGAGGATGTGGTAAAGCAGTATGTCCTGCAATTTCACCTGAAGTCCAGACAGTCGAGGAATGCAATTGCAGGAACACCTACTGCAGAGTTCTCTCTTCTATATCTCCAGCAGCTAGAAGGAGTTTGTCTTTATTAACAAACCCCTTTGAAACAATTTTAAAAAAAGAACTTACATAATCTTTTCAATAGGAACTCAAGATTCCAGATTTTATTGTAAATTTATAGTAATTAGTCTCTCTATTTCAAACAGATAAAGGCAGATACCAAACCTATGTGTTTTCAATACCCTGCTCGTAAGTCCAAAGGCCCAGGTATCTTCTCAAGACAGAGCTCAATGAAGGAAAAACTGAAGTTTAGGTCCTGCTGCTACCATGGGAAAATGTCTTTGCAGATTACAGAGGACTTCTCCTAGATAGAATATTTCATGTGGAAAACTGGACTAACACACAGAGAGCCAATATCAACATATGGGTTAGGACAGGCTTCTACTTTTCACTGCAGAACAACTGAGGCAATAAAACCTCTTGAGAAGAGGAAAACATTATTCAGCCTTAAGCCTGAATACAGCCTACTGTATTCAATAGCTGGAAAAATTTACCAGTCTTGATGTCAGCTGTAACCAAATCCTTGGCAACATACAGAATCACTGTTGTGCAAAACCAGAGATCAGTCTGACTCGTTGCCCAACTCCAACTTAAAGACTTGTATTTTCATCGTTTCTCCAGTTTTTTGTACTTAGCTTCTGCAGAAGGAAAAATAACAGCATTTTAGTACTGGGTAGGTAAGAGCTTTGCATCCTGTAAGCTTTTATACACCTTCAAATTCAAGTTAATTTACAGTATCACTCAGGATCCTTTTTTACTAATGTATTTATCATTGTACAGTAATTACTTTTTTAAGGAATCCAGTGCTTCAGTCAGACAACTAATATTAATTTCAGCCAAGAGGATTTGGGTGCCTGGTGAAACTTTATGAATCCCTCTATTTTCAGGATTAAACATCTGTCTTTAAAATTTGGGTCAGTGCATATGGCAAAAGAGAAATCAAGCCTCACTAATAAGCTGTAGTTTAACAACACCTGTACTAGTCCACCTTCATATCACAGAACAATCAGAGCTGGAAGGGACCCTTGAGGATCATCTAGTCCAACTCCTGGTCTTGCACAGGACATCCCTGAGAATCACACCATGTGCCTGAAAGCATTGTCCAAACACCTCTTGAACTCTGTCAGGCTTGGTGCTGTCACAACTTCCCTGGGGAGCTGTTCCAGTACCCAACCACCCTCCTGGTGAAGAACTGTTTTCTAATATGCAGCCTACACCTCCTCTAACACAACTTCAGACCATTCCATCAGGTCCTGTCACTGGTTGCCAGAGAGAAGAGGTCACTGCTGCCCCTGCACTTCCTTCCATGAGGAAGTTGTATACAGTGATGTGGTCTCCCCTCAGTGTCCTCCTTGCTGAACATAGCAAGTGACCTCAGCAGCTCCCCACATGGCTTCCCCTCAAGGTCCTTCAACATCTTCATTGCCTCCCTTGGACGATCTCCAATAACTTAGTATTTTTCTTACACTGTAGTGCCAAAAACTGCAAACAGTATTCAAGGTGAGGTTGCACCAGTGCAGTGGGACAATCACCTCCCCTGTGCATCTGGCAATGCCTTGCCTGATGCCAACCCAGGATATGGTTGGCCCTCGTGGCTGCCAGGGCACACTGCTGACTCATATTCAACTTGCCATAGACCAGGACCCCCACATTCCTTTCCATGACACTACTTTCCAGCCTCTAATTCCCCAGTCTGTAGGTACAGCCAGGGTTTCCCTATCCCAGGTGCAGAATCCAGCACTTGCCTTTGTTAAACTTCATATGGTTGGTAATTGCCCAGCCCTCTAATTTGTCTAAGTCTTTCTGCAAGGTCTCTCTGTCTTCCAGGGAGTCAAAAGCTCCTCCCAATTTTGTATCACTTGCAAATTTACTTAATAGCCCTTCAAGTCCTGTGTCCAAGCCATGTATGAAGATGTTGAAGAGCACTGGGCCTAAGATGGAGCCCTGAGGAACCCACTAGAGCCTGATGTAATCCTATTCACCATAACCCTTTGTGCCTGAGCCATGAGCCAGTTGCTCACCCATCACACAGTGTGTCTGTCCAGTTTTATGCTAGACATAATATAACTTGTTATGTTAATCTTTTCCCAATGCTTAGCACTTCATATACAATGTCTGCTGCTCAAAAGCAGTATAGGCAACCCTGCAGCTCAGCTTTGTTAAACAAAGGAATTTACTTTCTGCTTAAAATCCCTTACAAGGGACCATGCTGCTAGATTCTAACAGTAGAGGACAACAGTTACCAAGTTTTTTGGAATATGCATCCAGTTTATAAGCTGCCTGTTCCAGAGCTGCAACCTGCTCCTCAATTAAGTTGATTTGTTCCAGATATGGTTGAAGATCAGCATCTTAAAAAAGCAGAATATTATATGTCAGTTCTCAGTAATGAAACAGTCCACACTAGAAACACAGGAATTTCTCATGACATTCTTCAGATAGGACAGTTTAAAAGCTCCTTCCTTGCCCTGGCCCAAAACGAAGTGGTGACACTGACAGCTGTGCTCCAGGAAAGCATGAAATGTTTAAGGGTACTGGCTAGATTCTAACATAAGTAACAACAGAACTTGAATCAAAGGAAATGTTATTTTCTATCACATACAAAATTTGGGGTAAACCAGGACATAAATTCAGATGTGTTGTCTCTTATGCTAGTGTACATAGTCTATAGCTGCAAAGGAATATACGTGACTGGCATTGTATAGCAGCACATCTATTTCACTGAGTTTTCTGAACTGAAAGAAGGAAAGAAGTGTGAATTTTCTGACTCTAAGAGGTTTCATCTCCCAAACATTATATGTCTGCTTTGTACCACCCTTACTTGTACCATTCATCGCACCCTGACCTTATTTGGTTTACTTACATTTCTGATTTAAATCCTTCAGATTTCTACTGATGTTTATAGCAATATCTTTCATTTCCAGGTACTTCAAGCTCGTCAGCTTATTCATGTTTTCCAAGAGTTTGTAGTCTTCACTGGTGGCTTAAAAAAAGAATAGTTTATTTTAATTAAAAGATGATGTGGTTTGAACCAGGTGCAGACACTTCAAGAGAACAAGAGATTTCAAACCAACAGCCAAATGTAGCAGAATAGTTCAGATGGCAATACAGGTATTGTGATGATCCTCTACAAAAAGAGAGATCACAAAAACAGAGAATCATAGAGTTTTAGGGCTTGGAATGGACCTTACAGATCAACCAGCCCCAACCCCCTGCCATGGGGAGGGACACCTCTCACCAGACCAGGTGACTCAAGGCCTCATCCAACCTGGCTTTGAATACTGCCAGGATTGGGGCAGCCACTACCTCCCTGCACAGCCTGTTCCAGTGTCTCACCACCCTCACAGGAAAAAACTTTTTCCTAATATCTAGCCTAAATTTCCCTTCTTTCAACTTGCACCCATTGCCCCTTGTTCTGTCCCTGCAGCTCCCAACATAAAGTCCCTCTCTGGTTCCCTTGTAGCCCCTTCAGATACTGAAAGGCTACCATGAGGTCTCCACACAACCTGCTCTTCTTCAGGCTGAACAGCCCCAACTTCCTCAGCCTGTCCTCACAGGGGAGATGCTCCAACCTTCTGGAGATGGTATTTTGTGAACTGCAAATATCACCCAGACTGATGAATTATTTTTTTTGACAGCAATTTAAGTCTTCACGTTTCTACTCTTATTCTGTCAGTCAGACATTTATGTTCACAACACTGATGGCACAGATCCAGACTGGCTGTCTGTACCACATGCCCTCCAAGTCTCTGCCAATCAGTAGTGCTGTGGAGTGCTTTCCAAATTAGAGCCTGTGGAATGCTCTGCCTTGGTGAGCAGTTTGCTTTGCTCCAGTTAATTCTGCACAGTAGCTTACTCTAGAGCATGAATGTTGGAAAACACATGCATAATTCTTGCACCCACTCAGAAACAAAATAGCTGCACAAGTTCTACTCTCTGTTGCGCTTCCCTTCTAATCTTCCTTAACCTAGACTGGATTTGTTTGTTTGCTTTTCCATGTACAAACTCCTGCAAGGCTAAAAGGAAATATTTTTTGAAGCTACTGATATCATACTGAATTATTTTTTTAAATATCTGTGCTATTCTGGGACTTCATTAAACTACTATGACTGATCTCAGTGTTATTTGCAGCATGCCAGACTCAAACTGCCTTACTAGATGTGATCTAAACAGGTATAGTTTAGAGGGACTACACCACAGATTTCTTTGAAAGGAAGGGAAAAGAAGCAAAACCACTTGCAGGTCTGAGTTGCAGTGCCTTACCTGTCAGTTCACCTGTTAAGTAAGTGGCCATTTTGCTGAACATGTCTTTGCAGAGCTCATTGATGTCTGCCTCGGCTGGTTCCTTAGCTTCCTCTGCAGTCTCAACAGCAGGATCCTCTAATCAGGGCACAGACAGAACAGTGTTAAGGCAAAGCTAGAGCAGGTACAGAAACACACTGGAAATCTTAAATGGTCCCATTAATTTCCCCTTTCAAATTGACTACACCTGCTTTCCGTGTAAGCTGTGTACTTTATGCTAAGGGGCAACAAACCTTAGCAGCTTCCTTGAAGCAGCACCAAAATTACTTCAGAACACTGCTTTAGGGAGCGTTCAAGGGACAAGAACACCACCCAACGGCACTGGCAAATATCAGCCCCTGCTCTGCTTACACACGAGAGGTATTTGGGGCGCACTTTTGAATAACTGCTCTCGGCCCTGTTGCTGTTTACGCCTAGTCACTGACTGAGAGCAGTACAGTCGTGTCACGGGGGCCACAACACATCCCCCCGCGGAAACACGATCCT